TGATCCTACGCTTCATATTGATTATGTTTGCTGTAAAGCTTTTAAAGCGTTAGGTTTTATTATGCGCTTGGCCAAAGATTTGAAGCAAGGACTTTCACTTAAAGTGCTATTCTTTTCTATTGTCAGACTTATTCTAGAATATGGTAGTGTAGTGTGGGATCCTTATACTGCCTTGGGCTCGCTACAGCTTGAACGAGTTCAGCGAAAGTTCCTACGCTTTGTCAACTACTCGCTCAACATACTCTGTCCAAATCACGATTATGCCCCTGTCTCGTATTTGCTTGGACTATCGTCATTAGCTGAACGTAGGCGCAATGCTGGAATTAATTTCCTAACTGGTTTATTGGATGGTAATATTGATTCGCAGAGCCTGTTGTCCCTCATATGTTTCAGAGTACCTCAGCGCGCAACAAGAAATAATGCTCCATTTGTTGCCTAACTAATTATGCAAAAAATTAACCACTTAGGCGTCTTATAAATAATGCCAATGTTGACCCTTATTTTTCATTTTAATTTTTGTATTTTTCTTTATGTTTAATAATTAAATTCATTTTCATTTTGTATTTAATCTTTACGTTTAATAATTAATTTACATATTTTTAGTATGTATCTTTCTATGTTACAATAATCTAATTTATGTACTTGTATTATTTGTAAAAAGGGCTTCTGCCCGTGAAATTATAAAAATAAAAATAAAATAAAAGATCATCATTGTTAATACGAGTAAAGCATTTCATTAACTGACTTTATTATAACATAATATAAGCAACAACGCCATCTAATGGCTCAATGTCACATCCCCACTGTGCTGGAGATTTTTTTCATAATACTGTAATTAACACGATAAAAGTAATTAGTTTAAATTGTCACTTTCAATTATTTTAGATGTAAAATAGTATATAAGTCGTGGGAGGTTCTATACCCGTTAAAATATTCGTACCCCCTATAAATGAATTGATTTTTTTGGGAAGAGAACGAAATAAAGTAATGTGGTAAAGAAGCTTATAATAATCCAAGACTATAAAATAAGTGCCA